GGGGGCAAATACTTTTTCATAGCACTGTATATATATTTGCATCGCAGTGCTAGCTGTGCCACTAGAGATCCTGGTTCGAATCCAGGCTCTGTCGTAGCCGGCCAGCGTCGTCCAGGTTAGGGGAGGGAATGGCCGGCAGGGATGTAGCTCAGTTGGTAGAGCATGGCGTTTGCAACGCCAGGGTTGTGGGTTCGATTCCCACGGGGGGCCAGTATGAAAAATAAAGAAAATAATGTATGCACTCACTAACTGTAAGTCGCTCTGGATAAGAGCGTCTGCTAAACGACTAAAATGTAAATGTAAAATCTACCCCCTAAAAAAATATATATATATATATATATTCTAAGGTTTTAGAATATTCTGAAAATATTTGTAGCAGTTTTCAATATTGGTTGGGTATATCAGGAGATAGTCTGCAAATAAGTTTAGTTGATGTTCATGTTTAAGGGCGGCAGGTAGCTTAGTGGTTAAGAGCGTTGTACCAGTGACCGAAAGGTTGCTGGTTCTAATCCCCAAGCCGACTAGGTGAAAAATCTGTCGATGTGCCCTTGAGCAAGGCACTTAACCCTAATTGCTCCTGTAAGTCGCTCTGGATGAGAGCATCTGCTAAATGACCAATTTATTTTATTTAACAATACTGATACCGGTTATGTTTGGGTCCTGTCTAATTATTTCTGCGAGCGGTTCAATTGCCAGTGCAAACAGAAGGAGGAGAGGACATCCGTGTATTGTGCCCCTTTCTAAAGTCATTTCATCTGATAAAGTATTATTTGTGTGTATTTTTGCTTTAGGACATTTATATAACATTTTTATAAAAATTATTATTTCAGCCGGGAAAGTTGAAAGCTTCCAAAGTTTTGATTAAAATAGCTCACTGGAGACGCTGGAAAGCATTTCGGCATCAACAGCCATTATTGATGAATCTATATATTTTTCTTCGTTTTTTTTGCGTATTTTATTAAACTGAAACATGTTCTTGTATTAGTTTGTAAGTGTCTGTTTTTAATAAACCCTGTTTGATTTAAATGTATAAAGTCTGACTGCATCCTTATGACCCAATACCTCTGTAATTGTTCTGTCTCTTTGCATTAACGTGACTAATTTTCAACGAGATTTAATGAATAGAAAATAACTGAGACTGAATTACGCAGGGCTCAGTTCAGATTCTTTGCTCACTAGTAAGGAAGTCTCCTCACGTGGTTATTTTAGGCCTCTGTACTCTGGCCGTGGGAGAACACTACCACCTACTGGTCAATGGAACAAAATGCACCCTGTCAAATATACAGTTCGTAGGCATTCTACTTCTTCTGTCAGTAAGCCTACACTCTTAGAATAAATAATGTAGTTATACATACAGTAGAAGTCGGAAGTTTACATACACTTCGGTTGGAGTCATTAAAACTCGTTTTTCAACCACTCCACACATTTCTTGTTAACAAACTATAGTTTTGGCAAGTCGGTTAGGACATCTACTTTGTTCATGACACAAGTAATTTTTCCAACAATTGTTTACAGACAGATTATTTCACTTATAATTCACTGTATCACAATTCCAGTGGGTCAGAAGTTTACATACACTAAGTTGGACTGTGCCTTTAAACAGCTTGGAAAATTCCAGAAAATGATGTCATGGCTTTAGAAGCTTCTGATAGGCTATTTGACATCATTTGAGTCAATTGGAGGTGTACCTGTGGATGTATTTCAAGGCCTACCTTCAAACTCAGTGCCTCTTTGCTTGACATCATGGGAAAATCAAAAGAAATCAGCCAAGACCTCAGAAAAAATATTGTAGACCTCCACAAGTCTGGTTCATCCTTGGGAGCAATTTCCAAACGCCTGAAGGTACCACGTTCATCTGTACAAACAATAGTACGCAAGTATAAACACCATGGGACCACGCAGCCGTCATACCGCTCAGGAAGGAGACACATTCTGTCTCCTAGAGATTAATGTACTTTGGTGTGAAAAGTACAAATCAATCCCAGAACAACAGCAAAGGACCTTGTGAAGATGCTGGAGGAAACAGGTACAAAAGTATCTATATCAACAGTAAAACGAGTCCTATATCAACATAACCTGAAAGGCCGCTCAGCAAGGAAGAAGCCACTGCTCCAAAACCGCCATAAAAAAAGCCAGACAACAGTTTGCAACTGCACATGGGGACAAAGATCTTACTTTTTGGAGAAATGTCCTCTGGTCTGATGAAACAAAAATAGAACTGTTTGGCCACAATGACCATCGTTATGTTTGGAGGAAAAAGGGGGTTGCTTGCAAGTCGAAGAACACCATCCCAACCGTGAAGCACGGGGGTGGCAGCATCATGCTGTGGGGGTGCTTTGTTGCAGGAGGGACTGGTGCACTTCACAAAATAGATGGCATCATGAGGAAGGAAAATTATGTGGATATATTGAAGCAACATCTCAAGACATCAGTCAGGAAGTTAAAGCTTGGTCGCAAATGGGTCTTCCAAATGAACAATGACCCCAAGCATTCTTCCAAAGTTGTGGCAAAATGGCTTAAGGACAACAAAGTCAAGGTATTGGAGTGGCCATCACAAAGCCCTGACCTCAATCCTATAGAACATTTGTGGGCAGAACTGAAAAAGCGTGTGCGAGCAAGGAGGCCTACAAACCTGACTCAGTTACACCAGCTCTGTCAGGAGGAATGGGCCAAAATTCACCCAACTTATTGTGGGAAGCTTGTGGAAGGCTACCCGAAACGTTTGACCCAAGTTAAACAATTTAAAGGCAATGCTACCAAATACTAATTGAGTGTATGTAAACTTCTGACCCACTGGGAATGTGATGAAAGAAATAAAAGCTGAAATAAATCATTCTCTCTACTATTATTCTGACATTTCACATTCTTAAAATAAAGTGGTGATCCTAACTGACCTAAGACAGGGAATCTTTACTAGGATTAAATGTCAGGAATTGTGAAAAACTGAGTTTAAATGTATTTGGCTAAGGTGTATGTAAACTTCCGACATCAGCGGTAGTTATATAGTTATATATAGTTATATATAGTAATCTAGTTATACATAGTTATCTAGTTATATAGTTATATAGTTATACATAGTTATATAGTTATATAGTTATATAGTTATATAGTTATACATAGTTATATATAGTTATCTAGTTATACATAGTTATATATAGTTATCTAGTTATACATAGTTATATAGTTATCTAGTTATACATAGTTATAGTTATATAGTTATCTAGTTATACATAGTTATCTAGTTATATAGTTATATAGTTATAATAGTTATATAGTTATCTAGTTATACATAGTTATATAGTTATATAGTTATATAGTTATACAATATATAGTTATCTAGTTATACATAGTTATATAGTTATACATAGTTTATACTAGTTATATATATTTATCTAGTTATACATATTATATATTATCTAGTTATACATAGTTATATAGTTATCTAGTTATACATATTATGTTATCTAGTTATACTATTATAGTTATCTAGTTATACATAGTTATAGTATAACGTTATTAGTTTATACATTAGTTATATAGTTATCTAGTTATACATAGTTATATAGTTATCTAGTTATACATAGTTATATAGTTATCTAGTTATACATAGTATAGTTAAATAGTTGTCTAGTTATACATAGTTATATAGTTATATAGTATCTAGTTATACATAGTTATATAGTTATCTAGTTATACATAGTTATATAGTTATCTAGTTATACATAGTTTATATCTAGTTATACTAGTATAGTTATAGTTATATAGTTATTAGTTTTATATAATAGTTATCATAGTTATATAGTTATCTAGTTATACATAGTTATATAGTTATACATAGTTGTGTAGTTATACATAGTTATATAGTTATCTAGTTATACATAGTTATATATAGTTATCTAGTTATACATAGTTATATATTATTGTATATAGTATATAGTTATAGTATCTAGTTATACATAGTTATATAGTGTATATAGTATATTAGTTATACTAGTTATATAGTTATCATAGTTATAGTATAGTATAGTTATATAGTTATCTAGTTATACATAGTTTATTAGTTACTAGTTATATAGTTATATAGTTATCTAGTTATACATAGTTTATATAGTTATAGTTATTAGTTATCTAGTTATACATAGTTATATAGTTATATAGTTATCTAGTTATACATAGTTATATAGTTATATATAGTTATCTAGTTATACATAGTTATATAGTTATATATAGTTATCTAGTTATATATAGTTATATAGTTATACATAGTTGTGTAGTTATACATAGTTGTATATCAGTTCTATATTATATAAGTTCTATATAGAACCAAAAAAAGGTTTTATTGCTTGTTTCATACAAGGCACCCCTGTTGAGAAGAAAGAAGAAGCCTTCCCACTGCTCTTGCTAGTTTCACTGCTGACGTTTCGCTCTCAAGGCCTTCATCAGAGCGTCTGTGAGGGTTTTTAATGTGCACCCTTATGTAGACATTGCTCCACCCACATCCGTTCTATGCATCCAATGGGGTTGGTGTCGAAGGGAAAGTAAACGTGTTACTAAATATAACAACGTGTGACGTCTCCTCCCGTTGCACCCCCTCCGGCGCTCTGATTCGCCGGTCTACTGAGCCACCGGTCTGAGCGCACCACCTCGGCAACACCGGAAAGGAAACCCAACGCACCCTAAACACCTCCCAGCGCACCTGCACCTCATCATCTCATCACCACCCTTATTTAGCCCTGGACTGTTCTAGGCGATATTGTGTGTGATTGTTAATGCTTCGTGTCGTTTACGCGATCGTTGTTATTTCTCTTGCTCATTGTTAAGTAAACCTTGACCTTGTTAATTCCTGCGTCTTCGTCCTGCCTCTTCGTATAATCAGTACGCGTCACACAACGTGCATTTCATAAGTATACATGGAACCCTAAAAGATTCTATAGAACTCTAATGAACCCCCTTTTTTTCTAAGAGTGTAGACTACAAATGATTGTTTGTAGCATATAAAGCTAAATAAATGTTGAAGACAACTTGGCGTGAAGCATGCCTAACTGGAAATACAAATACGATAACTTGGCGTGAAGCCTGCCCAACTGGAAATACAAATATGATAACTTGGCGTGAAGCATGCCCAACTGGAAATACAAATATGATAACTTGGCGTGAAGCATGCCCAACTGGAAATACAAATATGATAACTTGGAGTGAAGCATGCCTAACTGGAAATACAAATATGATAACTTGGAGTGAAGCATGCCTAACTGGAAATACAAATATGATAACTTGGAGTGAAGCATGCCCAACTGGAAATACAAATATGATAACTTGGAGTGAAGCAGCCCAACTGAAATACAACTATTATAACTTGCGTGAACATCCACTGGAAATACAAATATGATAACTTGGCGTGAAGCATGCCTAACTGGAAATACAAATATGATAACTTGGCGTGAAGCATGCCTAACTGGAAATACAAATATGATAACTTGGCGTGAAGCATGCCTAACTGGAAATACAAATATGATAACTTGGAGTGAAGCATGCCTAACTGGAAATACAAATATGATAACTTGGAGTGAAGCATGCCTAACTGGAAATACAAATATGATAACTTGGCGTGAAGCATGCCTAACTGGAAATACAAATATGATAACTTGGCGTGAAGCATGCCTAACTGGAAATACAAATATGATAACTTGGCGTGAAGCATGCCTAACTGGAAATACAAATATGATAACTTGGCGTGAAGCATGCCTAACTGGAAATACAAATATGATAAACTTGGAGTGAAGCATGCCCTAACGTGAAATACAAATATGATAACCTTGAGTGAAGCATGCCTAACTGGAAATACAAATACTGAACTGGAAATACAAATATGATAACTTGGAGTGAAGCATGCCTAACTGGAAATACAAATATGATAACTTGTAGTGAAGCATGCCTAACTGGAAATACAAATATGATAACTTGGAGTGAAGCATGCCTAACTGGAAATACAAATATGATAACTTGGAGTGAAGCATGCCTAACTGGAAATACAAATATGATAACTTGGTAGTGAAGCATGCCTAACTGGAAATACAAATATGATAACTTGGAGTGAAGCATGCCTAACTGGAAATACAAATATGATAACTTGGAGTGAAGCATGCCTAACTGGAAATACAAATATGATAACTTGGAGTGAAGCATGCCTAACTGGAAATACAAATATGATAACTTGGCGTGAAGCATGCCTAACTGGAAATACAAATATGATAACTTGGAGTGAAGCATGCCTAACTGGAAATACAAATATGATAACTTGGAGTGAAGCATGCCTAACTGGAAATACAAATATGATAACTTGGAGTGAAGCATGCCTAACTGGAAATACAAATATGATAACTTGGAGTGAAGCATGCCTAACTGGAAATACAAATATGATAACTTGGAGTGAAGCATGCCTAACTGGAAATACAAATATGATAACTTGGAGTGAAGCATGCCTAACTGGAAATACAAATACGATAACTTGTAGTGAAGCATGCCTAACTGGAAATACAAATATGATAACTTGGAGTGAAGCATGCCTAACTGGAAATACAAATATGATAACTTGGAGTGAAGCATGCCTAACTGGAAATACAAATATGATAACTTGGAGTGAAGCATGCCTAACTGGAAATACATGTCTACTGTATGATTTCTTCCCAAATGGCACCCTATTCCCTACATAGTGCACTACTTCTGGTCTGATCCCTATCTGGTTAAAAGTAGTGCACTACACAGGAAATAGGGTGCCATTTGGGAAATCATTATCTGCTTCTTGAAAGCAGCGCACCCTCCCACGCATGTGACACACACAAAGAGGAAGGAGAAAACCAATATTTCCAGTCGGTCAGGTGTTCTTGACATTTGCATAACTACCAGGAAGTTCCAGTAAATAAACCATTTGTCCGTTGGACCGACCTTCCTTCAGGGGAAATTCTGTGTAGCTACCGTCAGTAGACATTTCCTGGATTCCCCGTGTGAATGGCGTCTTGTGTATAGTCTGTTTAGTATAGACTACTGTGTTGAACACTACATGCGCCTTTACAGATTAGAGAGAGTTTTTCTTAGTTTCTATCATGATGGGTGCGCTACAGTCGTGATTCCCTAAAACAGTTGGACATGTGTTGTTGCTTTTTGAGCTGGGAAAATGATTTGCGGGAGGAAAGCTACTTGTTTTTGACTGAACAAAAATGAAACTACTTCTCATGGTGGGATTGTTGTTGGCGTTTGTCTCTACCTCATCAAGTCTCCGGATTTTGGAATGGCCCAAACTAAACTGTACTCAACAGGTAAGTGTTGACTGACTTTGGAATGGCCCACACTAAACTGTACTCAACAGGTAAGTGTTGACTGACTTTGGAATGGCCCACACTAAACTGTACTCAACAGGTAAGTGTTGACTGACTTTGGAATGGCCCACACAAAACTGTACTCAACAGGTAAGTGGTGACTGACTTTGGAATGGCCCACACAAAACTATCCTCAAGACAAACTACTAATTTATTTGATCATAATAAGATAAATATCTTATCAAAAGAGATGACTACTAATTCTATCATTCTTTGAAGTTGTCATATTAAGGAAAATGCCACTAATCTCAGCAATTACATTTATTTGTAATGCATTACAAATAATTAAAGGACCAATTTACAGCCTTGCGATGTCACCAGGCAGGCCAAAACTCCATCCCACTAAAACAGCTCTTACACTAAAAGGGCATTATCATCATTTTCACAATTCCACAGTATTATTCCAACCTCATAGTGTGGAAATATATATATAAAACACAGGAAAATCACGTTTTTGTCTGCACTGGGCCTTTAACAGAAATACATGATTTAATGAATCACACATTATAAGTTGTTGTCGTTTCTTGTCCTATGGTTTTCCTCTGCTCATGTGTCTGTGTGTGGTTCTCTTTTTTTTGCAGGGTTTGAGATGCGAAGCCAACATCAGTGAGTATTATCTCTAACGTACCATAGAGCTCTTAATATTGGTCCAGACAGTGTTTTACAGTGTGTGCTTATGTGTTCAAATGAGGTGGAATCACGGTTCATTTTGGACATGATAGTTGAAAAACATTTATTTTCAATGTAGACATATTGAATTAAAATGAAACTCTCCTCTCCTCTCCCTCTCCCTCTCCCTCTCCCTCTCCTCTCCTCTCCTCCCCCTCTCTCCTCCCCTATAGATAACTGCCTGGATAAAGAGTGGTTGAAGCCTCGGCGCTACACCCCTAACGGTCCAGTGAACCTAGAGGTGGAGGTGGACACCAGAAAAGATGAGGAGGGACACCTGGTACCTGTTTTAGTGGCACGATGGAAAGCTCCGGATGACGGTGGGTTGACTGGCCAGTATCACAAATGTCACATGACCTTGCCACCCTATTCCCTATATAGTACACTAAGCAATACGGTGCTATTTGTTAGATGTGGAATAAGTGGAGAGGAGCACTGGAAGTATACTGGCAGTTTGTAACTTTGATATTTCTTCTTCTTCTTCTTCTTCTTCTTGTTCTTGTTTTCTTTTTGTTCTTCTTCTTCTTGTTTTCTTTTTGTTCTTCTTCTTCTTGTTCTTCTTCTTGTTTTCTTTTTGTTCTTCTTCTTCTTGTTCTTCTTCTTCTTGTTTTCTTTTTGTTCTTTTTGTTCTTCTTCTTCTTCTTGTTTTCTTTTTGTTCTTCTTCTTTTTGTTCTTCTTCTTCTTCTTCTTCTTCTTCTTCTTGTTTTCTTTTTGTTCTTCTTCTTTTTGTTCTTCTTCTTCTTCTTGTTCTTGTTCTTCTTCTTCTTCTCCTCATCAGGAAGTATTAGTTCCCTGAAAGGAACAGAGCTTCATGTTCTGATGATGGCCACAAACCAGTATCTGTGTGTTCGATACGAATTCCTCGATAAGATACCCATGCGTAATCCAGCATATGAAAAGGTAGGCCTTCGTTACAAGTGATCAATTTAATGATAAATATCCATTCTTACATGACACTCCCAAGTAAACAGAATATCTATTTTCTCTCAGTGGTCTTTCTCCCTGGATCGAGTGGTGGTTGAACCCGGCCTGTCGTACGTTGTCTCAGTCTCCAACCTCCCCAAACCAAACCTGAAGTACTCTGGTTATAACATCAATAAAACCGTCACTGTCCCAGGTGAGAACGATACATTTAGGTGAGATTAGTAAAACACAGGTTGGATAAGTGTAGATACTTTGTACAGTACTCCACTATCTATTCCTACTGCACATTGGATTGGCATCAGCAGCTTTGCATTCAATACCTGTAACATACTTGTTAGAACGTTTAGTTCATAATTCAATTCAACCATATACAGTGAGGTGATAGATGTCATTTCACCTTAGATTGTAAACAGCCCAAGATACAGAGGAGTAAGGTGTGTCTGGACAGTGGTGAGTGACCAATCACATTACTATCATGTTATATGAAGTGGTGAGTGACCAATCACATTACTATCATGTTATATGAAGTGGTGAGTGACCAATCACATTACTATTGTGTTATATGAAGTGGTGAGTGACCAATCACATTACTATCATGTTATATGAAGTGGTGAGTGACCAATCACATTACTATCATGTTATATGAAGTGGTGAGTGACCAATCACATTACTCTCATGTTATATGAAGTGGTGAGTGACCAATCACATTACTCTCGTGTTATATGAAGTGGTGAGTGACCAATCACATTACTATCATGTTATATGAAGTGGTGAGTGACCAATCACATTACTCTCGTGTTATATGAAGTGGTGAGTGACCAATCACATTACTATCGTGTTATATGAAGTGGTGAGTGACCAATCACATTACTATCGTGTTATATGAAGTGGTGAGTGACCAATCACATTACTATCATGTTATATGAAGTGGTGAGTGACCAATCACATTACTATCATGTTATATGAAGTGGTGAGTGACCAATCACATTACTATCATGTTATATGAAGTGGTGAGTAGTCAGTGTTGTGACGTCCAAGAGACCAGTTGGTTTTAATAATTAATTAATTAGCATTTAGTTAAATAAATATATTCAAATCAAGTCATACAGGTATAACATTCATATTGTATTATGACCAGTGGCTTGACTTGGGCTGAAATAGGTGCCGGTACTCATTTTGGGTGTCGGTACTGTTCATATCTAGGGCCAGGAGCTCCACAGTAAGAGGTGGATGAAGTCAAGTAATAGAAGGGAGGATGGGAGCAGAGGAGGAGGAAGGAGGAGGAGGAGTAGGGAGGATGGGAGCAGAGGAGGAGGAGTAGGGAGGATGGGAGCAGAGGAGGAAGGAGGAGGAGGAGTTGAGGTGCTGGTACTCGGTTCCGACATTGTTTCCTTTTGTTTTTTGTATAAAGGGAGTCTGTGGAGGCCCAATGCTACGTTGGAGCGGTCCACCGGACCACAAGGCAGAGCCGTGCTCACTGTCGGGTTCAGTACCGACCAGCGCTCACAGAACTACAGAGTCTCGCTGCAGTGCTCCAACGACAGACACTGGCAGGACACAGACATGGTATGGTTATTAAGGTTATGGATGGCTTATGAATGTATTATGAAGTCGGTTGGTCTGATATGCAGGTGCCCTTTAACTAAGGACGCGTCCCAAATGACACCCTACTCCCTATCAAGTGATAGCTTATAGGGTTCTGGTCAAAAGAAGTGTCAAAAGAAGTGCACTATATAGGGAATAGGGTGCCATTCTCTGGTCTAAAGTAGTGCACTATATAGGGAATAGGGTGCCATTCTCTGGTCTAAAGTAGTGCACTATATAGGGAATATGGAGCCCTACTCTAAGTGTTAGGGTTTTTTACACCCTTCTCTCTGCTTAAAGAAGTGTGTCGTCAGTAGAATTGTATCTGTAGCTAGCTACATGACGTCAAAGACATTGGTACCGAAGACGTGTTGTTTCCCTTCCAATGGTTTGACCTAGAACATTTTAGATTTGCAAAGCAAGACACTGCACATCCTGTGTCACACTTCATCGCTGTGGTTCTTCCCCAGATTTTAATCTTTCCCCCTCATCAATCTACACACAATACCCCCCATAATGACAAAGCAAAAACAGGTTTGTAGACATTTTTGCAAATGTATGAAAAATAGAAAAACAGAAATATCACGTTTACGTAAGTATTCAGACCCCTTTACTCAGTACTTTGTTGAAGCACCTTTGCCAGCGATTACAGCCTCAAGTCTTCGTGGGTATGACGCTACAAGCTTGGCACACCTGTATTTGGGGAGCTTCTCCCATTCTTCTCTGCAGATCCTCTCAAGCTCTGTCAGGTTGGATGGGGAACGTCGCTGCACAGTCTATCCAGTGGTGTTTCAAGTCCGGGCTCTGGCTGGGCCACTCAAGCCACCAAAGCTTGGCTGTGTGCTTAGGGTCATTGTCCTGTTGGAAGGTGAACTTTCACCCCAGTCTGAGGTCCTGAGCGCTCTGGAGCAGGTTTTCATCAAGGATCTCTCTGTACTTTGCTCCGTTCATCTTTCCCTCGATCCTGACTAGTCTCCCTGCCGCTGAAAAACATCCCCACAGCATGATGCTGCCATCACCATGCTTCACCATAGGGATGGTGCCAGGTTTCCTCCAAATATGACGCTTGGCATTCAGGCCAAAGAGTTCAATCTTGATTTCATCAGCCCAGAGAATCTTGTTTCTCATGGTCTGAGTCTTTAGGTGCCTTTTACTGAGGAGTTGCTTCCGTCTGGCCACTCAACCATAAAGGCCTGATTGGTGGAGTGCTGCAGAGATGGTTGTCCTTCTGGAAGGTTTTTCCATCTCCACAGAGGAACTCTGGAGCTCTGTCAGAGTGACCATCGGGTTCTTGGTCATCTCCCTGACCAAGGCCCTTCTCCCCCGATTGCTCAGTTTGGCCAGGCGGCCAGCTCTAGGAAGAGTCTTGGTGGTTCCAAACTTCTTCCATTTAAGAACGATGGAGGCCACTGTGTTCTTGGGGGCCTTCAATGCTGCAGAAATGTTTTGGTACCCTTCCCCAGATCTGTGCCTCGACATGCACTGACATGCACTGTCAACTGTGGGACCTTATATAGACAGGTGTGTGCCTTTCCAAATATATGTCCAATCAATTGAATTTACCACAGGTGGACTCCAATCAAAATGTAGAAACATCTCAAGGATGATCAATGGAAACAGGATGCACCTGAGCTCAATTTCGAGTCTCATAGCAAAGGGTCTGAATACTTATGTAAAAAAGTATTTCTGTTTTTTATTTGTAATAATTTTGAAAAAATGTCTAAAACCCTGTTTTCGCTTTGTCAATGGTCCCATGTAGCTCAGTTGGTAGAGCATGGCGTTCGCAACGCCAGGGTTGTGGGTTCATTTCCCACGAGGGGGGCCAGTATGACAATGTATGCACTCACTAACTGTAAGTCGCTCTGGATAAGAGGGTCTGCTAAACGACAAAAATGTAAAAAATGTGGTTATGGGGTATTGTGTGTAGATTGATGAGGATTTGATAAGGCTGTAACGTAACAACACGTGGAAAAAGGGAAGGGGTCTGAATACTTAAAGGGAAGGGGTCTGAATACTTAAAGGGAAGGGGTCTGAATACTTAAAGGGGAGGGGTCTGAATACTTAAAGGGAAGGGGTCTGAATACTTTCTGAATGCACTGTATGTACGTCTATGATGGAGAGATCAAGAAGAAAGATGAGTGAGTTCACATCTTCTGTTTTCCTTCAGACCAACCAAACATTGCTGAATGTAACCTTTGACCTGGAGAAATGGCCCCAGACCTGTTGCCGTTTTGATGTGGAGGTAAGTCTTCCTTCAGACCAACCAAACATTGCTGAATGTAACCTTTGACCTGGAGAAATGGCCCCAGACCTGTTGCCGTTTTGATGTGGAGGTAAGTCCTCCTCAGAAATTCACAACTTCCTCGTTCCGTCGAATTGCCGGCGATGTTCAGCTAGCTAGACTTTCCAAGCGGAGGTTTATGATGTAGACTTCCTGATAGTGGAACTGTTCCTGAAGAAAACAACAACTGTTTCAATGTAGCCTCATTTGTCCTACAGATCCAGCCGTTTTTTAGCCGTTGCAGCAACGACTGCGTACGTAGAAGGAAAACGTTCAACATATGTGGTAGGTTCATAAACAAAGTCTATTTATTACATGGTAAAATAAGATCTATTTAATGTTCTCCGCTAACTAAAACGGTTGGTGTGATTCCAGGGACCGCTCCAACGGTGTTAACTGAAGACTCTTCCTCTCCTAAAACCTACACTGTCGTAGCGGCGGCGGTGGTGGTGGTGGTGGTCGGCGGAGTGGTCTGTTGGGTTGTCTATCAACTACGGAGACGGAGAAAGAAAGGTTGGTTGAGGAGAGACCCCGTTATCACTCAGTTAGCATCTCTCACTTATCTCTTCAGTTAATTAGTCAAAATATATTGGAAATGGGTTATTCAGTGCTCCTTGGTGACAAACAAATTATTATCTCTATTTAAGTCTCTATTTGACTTACTTGCAACACTTCAGAAATGCAGGCATTAATATAATATGCTTCATTACTGCATAGTCATGTAGCCATAACCAAATGCATGACATTAATTAAGACATTAGCAGAATATGATGGTTAAGAAATTAGGATGAAATTTGGGAGTAAATGGTCCGTGAAATAGAGGCGCGTAAATGAGCAGACGGGTCAAATCAAATCAATGAGTTGTGAATTAGAATCGTGGAATGAATTGAGTATCAGGCCATCGACAGACATGGGAACAATGTAAAATATCTACAAATGGATTTAAAATTTCAACCGGTACAACATCTGACTTCCTGTTCATAGCTTCATCTTTCTAGTTGATGCTTTTATTGGTCTTCTTTATCTCTCTTCCTTCCCTCCCCTCTCCTCCTCTCTCTCTCTCTCTCTCTCTCTCTCTCTCGCTACCTCTCTCTCTGTACCTCTCTCTCTCTCGCTACCTCTCTCTCTCTCGCTACCTCTCTCTCTCTCTCTCTCTCTCTCTCTCTGTACCTCTCTCTCTCTCTCTCTCTCCCCTTCAGTCCCACCAGGCCCCTCTCCCCCAGCTGTAGAGCCAGAGGCCCAGACTCCTCATCCTCCCAGGGTTCCTCCCAGGGTGTTGGTGATCTACTCTCAGGACCACCCTCTCTACAGGAAGATAGTCCTGAAGCTCTGTGCCTTCCTGCAGGCCAAGTGTGGAACAGAGGTGGTGTTGGATCTTCTAGACACAGCCTGGCTGGGCACTGTGGGGCGATTACCCTGGCTGGAGTGGCAGAGGCAACAGGTGGGTAGATGGCAGGAGTGCTGATCTAGGGTCCAGTGTCCCTTGTTCATGTGATATCCTTCAGTATTATCTAAAAGGCTAAACTGCTCCTAGCTCAGCAGTCCTGCTCTGAAACACTTTATGAATACAGGTCCAGTAGGGAAGAGGACTAGACAGATGGGAGACAAACTGGCAATCTGAGGGTTGTTGGTTTCAGACCCTGCACCGTTGGTTTCAGACCCTGCACCGTTGGTTTCAGACCCTGCACCGTTGGTTTCAGACCCTGCACCGTTGGTTTCAGACCCTGCACCGTTGGTTTCAGACCCTGCACCGTTGGTTTCAGACCCTGCACCGTTGGTTTCAGACCCTGCACCGTTGGTTTCAGACCCTGCACCGTTGGTTTCAGACCCTGCACCGTTGGTTTCAGACCCTGCACCGTTGGTTTCAGACCCTGCACCGTTGGTTTCAGACCCTGCACCGTTGGTTTCAGACCCTGCACCGTTGGTTTCAGACCCTGCACCGTTGGTTTCAGACCCTGCACCGTTGGTTTCAGACCCTGCACCGTTGGTTTCAGACCCTGCACCGTTGGTTTCAGACCCTGCACCGTTGGTTAAAAAAAACCGTTGTTTCAGACCCTGCACCGTTGGTTTCAGACCCTGCACCGTTGGTTTCAGACCCTGCACCGTTGGTTTCAGACCCTGCACCGTTGGTTTCAGACCCTGCACCGTTGTTCCCTTTAGTAAGGCACTTGAACAAGACAGAAAAAAAATCTGTCTCCACAGATAGACAGATTGACAAATCTGTTCCTCTCCTCTCCTCTCCTCTCCTCTCCTCTCCTCTACTCTCCTCTCCTCTCCTCTCCTCTCCTCTCCTCTCCTCTCCTCTCCTCTCCTCTCCTCTCCTATCCTCCCTCCTCTCCTATCCTCCCTCCTCTCCTCTCCCTCTCTCCTCCCCCTCTCCCCCCTCCTCTCCTCCCTCTCTCCTCTCCTCTCCTCCCCCTCTCTCCTCTCCTCTCCTCTCCTCTCCTCTCCTACAGGTCAACAAATCATCAGACAAGATCCTGGTCCTCTGTTCTCGTGGTGTTCAGGCCAAGTGGAGGGCGATGTGCGGCCAGAGTCGTGTGACGTTAAGAGAGGACCTCCGGTCGCCCATTGACGACATGCTGACCCCGGCCCTCAACCTCTTCCTGCCCGACATGCAGCAGGCCGCCGCCCTGGGGAAGTACATGGTGGCCTACTTTGACGATGTGGGCAGCGAGCGCGACGTGCCGTCTGTCTTCGACATCGCTGTGAAGTACAAGCTGATGAAGCACTTTGAGGAGCTCTGCTTCAGGATCCTGGATAAGGAGAAGTACGCACCAGGACAGGTCAGTTTGTTGATGGGATCTCCCTATGCTTCCTGTCTGGTCTGTTGCGTTGTACCCTGGCGTTTGGGACAGGTACAGACAGTCTGGTCCTAGCTTTCTGTTGTTGCGTTGTACCCTGGCGTTTGGGACAAGTACAGACAGTCTGGTCCTAGCTTTCTGTAGTTGTGTTGTACCCTGGCGTATGGGACAGGTACGGCCAGTCCGGTCCTAGCTTTCTGTAGTTGCGTTGTACCCTGGCGTTTGGGACAGGTACATCCAGTCTGGTCCTAGCTTTCTGTAGTTGTGGCCAAAGGTAATAGAGAGGGCCAGAATGGAAATAAGGTGCATACGCACAAAAAGCTTATTATTTTTCTCAAATGTTGTGCACAAATTTGTTTAGATCCCTGTTAGTGAGCATTTCTCCTTTGCCAAGATAATCCATCCACCTGACAGGTGTGGCATATCAAGAAGCTGATTAAACAGCGTGATCATTACACAGGTGCACCTTGTGCTGGGGACAATAAAAGGCCACTCTAAAATGTGCTGAGGAGTATTTCTGTCTGTAATAAAGCCCTTTTGGGGGGGAGAACTCATTCTGATTGGCTGGGCCTGGCTCCCCAGTGGGTGGGCCTATGCCCTCCAAGGCCCACCCACGGCTGCGCCCCTGCCCAGTCATGTGAAATCCATAGATTAGGGCCTAATGCATTTATTTCAATTGACTGATTTCCTTATATGAACTGTAATTCAGTAAAATCTTTGAAATTGTTCCATGTTGCGTTTTATGTTTTTGTTCAGTATATTTTAAACGTGTCAAATAAAATGAATTAATTCATTCAATCAGGTCAGCCACATCGAGGGGATCGGAGTGGAAGAGTACTTCAAATGTCCGTCGGGGAGGGATCTGCGTGACGCCATCGAAGCCTTCCAGGTGTTCCAGCTAGAGAACCCGGACTGGTTTGAACAGGAGTGTGTTGACATCAACGCAGAGGAGGAAGTGGTCGCAGTAACAGAGTATGATGCTCTACTGGAACAGCCGGTCGCTCCTGTTCTAGAGTTTGTTCCAGAATACAGGAAGGGGCCTCCTGTTCTAGAGTTTGTTCCAGAATACAGGAAGGGGCCTCCTGTTCTAGAGTTTGTTCCAGAATACAGGAAGGGGCCTCCTGTTCTAGAGTTTGTTCCAGAATACAGGAAGGGGCCTCCTGTTCTAGAGTTTGTTCCAGAACACAGGAAGGGGCCTCCTGTTCTAGAGTTTGTTCCAGAATACAGGAAGGAGCCTCCTGTTCTAGAGTTTGTTCCAGAATACAGGAAGGAGCCTCCTGTTCTAGAGTTTGTTCCAGAGTACAGGAAGGGGCCTCCTGTTCTAGAGTTTGTTCCAGAATACAGGAAGGGGCCTCCTGTTCTACAGTGTGTTCCAGAATACAGGAAGGGGCCTCCAATCTCCAGCTATGATGTAGAGATCAATGAAAACAGCCAGGGAGTCCAGGTCTTGACTCCTGAAGTGAAAGTGGAAGGTAAGGTTATCAGAGGGGTTGGGTAGCCTGAAAGGAGTGGAATGATAGCACAAACAGCCCAGGCTAGGGGTTGGGTAGCCTGACAGGAGTGGAATGATAGCACAAACAGCCCAGGTTAGGGGTTGGGTAGCCTGACAGGAGTGGAATGATAGCACAAACAGCCCAGGCTAGGGGTTGGGTAGCCTGACAGGAGTGGAATGATAGCACAAACAGCCCAGGCTAGGGGTTGGGTAGCCTGAAAGGAGTGGAATGATGGCACAAACAGCCCAGGCTAGGGGTTGGATAGCCTGAAAGGAGTGGAATGATAGCACAAACAGCCCAGGCTAGGGGTTGGGTAGCCTGAAAGGAGTGGAATGATAGCACAAACCGACTGGTGCCCAGGCTAGGGGTTGGGTAGCCTGAAAGGAGTGGAATGATAGCACAAACCGACTGGTGCCCAGGCTAGGGGTTGGGTACAGCAGAAAACCTTTCTGTCTAGTATGGATGAATAAAGTATTCTTCTTCCAGGTGATGGGACGTCTGTGCTGGAGGTTCTTCCAAGGGTCAGCTCTGACAGCCACCAGGTCTACCCATCATACCCAGTCGTTGAGGCCCCACCCAGGGTACTTATCTCTGATCTGTACCCCCATGCCCTGGACAGTCAACCCTGTGGGTTGTCAGATCTTCTTCTGAGTGAGCCACCCCTGGCCAGAGAGAACTGTCTCCGCCTACAGGAGAGGTCGGGAACAGCAGACCGCTGCCCTCTAGAGAGCGAGGAAGAGGAGGAGTCATACAGTCCTTCATCTTGTCAACCCTCTGCTGACACCCTGGAACAACTGATGTCTCTCCAGCTGTCACTCTGTGGCCTCGGCGTTATCCCAGAAACCACCTCTGTGTCCACAGAGAATGGCTACCAATCACAGCAGCCTGTAGAGATGGACCTATCACTTCCTGTCAAGATGGGCCAATCACAGCTGTCCTTCAGCTCCATCCAGGTTACCCCACCTGTACCGACGGATAGTCAGATTCAGTACCTCCCTCCCCTGCCAGAGATGGAGGAGGGTGGGGAGGTGATGAACCCCGCTGCCCAGGAGAAGAGACCCATCAGTGGGTCAGACCAAGGCTACATCTCCAGGAGTTCCTTCCAGCAGGACTCTCCTGTAGACTCCCCTGTAGGGGGGGCCAGCGAGAATCTACTGACGGCACTGGCCAGGTTACAACAGGACCTCTACCTGAACCAGTAGATACTCTGGGTTCTGCAATAAAATGCAGAGGGAACGTTCTAGAAAATCTGGTGTTAATCAGACACTCTGGATCATAAAGACTTTAGTTCTTTCAGATTGTTACGACATTATTGTCTATACAGTTGTTCTGCTTTCCTGTTTTGAAAAATGACGCGCGACCTTGAATCAATGAATCAGGCAATGGGTTTGTACAGCATAATCCATAGATTTAGTTCTGATATCACTTTCTTATATCAGGTTGTACAGGGTTCTACTGGACAATAAAACTGATCATGTCCATATTTCAGATATACAATGTGCAATTTTTTACACATAGAATTTGCTTTCTGTAGACAATAACCAGTTTCTGTTTTCCTGTAAACGATTTGGGAATCAAGGGTTCGTCCCAAATGGCACCCCTATTCCCTACATAGTGCACTACTTTTAACCAGAGCCCCAGTCAAAAGTAGTGCACTATGTAGGGAATAGGGTGCCATTTGGGACTCAGAGAGACATAGGAAACGTCCATGCTGGGAACATAGTATCTGTTAAATATAAATCCCATTTAATGGGTTCAACAAGACATTGGAAACGTCCATGCTGGGAACATAGTATCTGTTAAATATAAATCCCATTTAATGGGTTCAACAAGACATAGGAAACGTCCATGCTGGGACCAGGACCATAGTATCTGTTTAATATATATCCCATTTAATGGGTTCAACAAGACATAGGAAACGTTCATGCTGGGACCAGGACCATAGTATCTGTTAAATATAAATCCCATTTAATGGGTTCAACAAGACATAGGAAACGTTCATGCTGGGAACATAGTATCTGTTAAATATAAATCCCGTTTAATGGGTTCAACAAGACATAGGAAACGTTCATGCTGGGACCAGGACCATAGTATCTGTTAAATATAAATCCCATTTAATGGGTTCAACAAGACATAGGAAACGTTCATGCTGGGAACATAGTATCTGTTAAATATAAATCCCATTTAATGGGTTCAACAAGACATTGGAAACGTCCATGCTGGGAACAGGACCATAGTATCTGTTAAATATAAATCCCATTTAATGGGTTCAACAAGACATAGGAAACGTTCATGCTGGGAACATAGTATCTGTTAAATATAAATCCCGTTTAATGGGTTCAACAAGACATAGGAAACGTTCATGCTGGGACCAGGACCATAGTATCTGTTAAATATAAATCCCATTTAATGGGTTCAACAAGACATAGGAAACGTTCATGCTGGGAACATAGTATCTGTTAAATATAAATCCCATTTAATGGGTTCAACAAGACATAGGAAACGTCCATGCTGGGAACAGGACCATAGTATCTGTTAAATATAAATCCCATTTAATGGGTTCAACAAGACATTGGAAACGTCCATGCTGGGAACAGGACCATAGTATCTGTTTTCTATTTCTCATTTTGCTAAAACACAAATGAAATGTAGTTAGTCAGTGTCAGTCTTGGACTCTTTTAAAACAGTATTCTATATCCAAGAAAGAAAGCCCTTGGTCGTCCTTTGCTTCCTCTATTGGGCTCTACTATACATATGATTAAAACATATTTTTGTCAGAACATACAGTACCAGTCAAAAGTTTGGACACACCTCCTCGTTCAAGGGTTTTTCTTTATTTTTACTATTTTTTACATTGTAGAATAATAGTGAAGACATCAAAACTATGAAATAATACATATGGAATCATGTAGTAACCTAAAAAAGTGTTAAACAAATCAAAATACATTTTTTTATTTGAGATTCTTCAAATAGCCACCCTTTGCCTTGATGACAGCTTTGCACACTCTTGGCATTCTCTCAACCAGCTTCACCTGGAATGCTTTTCCAACAGTCTTGAAGGAGTTCCCACATATGAAAAAAAATAATGTATGCACTCACTAACTGTAAGTCGCTCTGGATAAGGGCGTCTGCTAAATGACTGAAAATGTAAATATGCTGAGCACTTGTTGGCTGCTTTTCCTTCACTCTGCCGTCCAACTCATCCCAAACCATCTCAATTGGGTTGAGGTCAGGGGATGATTGTGGAGGCCAGGTCATCTGATGCAGCACTCCATCACTATACATACATCACTATACATACATATATACATATCCTTTAAAAAATATATACTCCCCTTTATTACTTTCCAACACCACCACCCTTTCCCTACTTGGAGTAAACTAGTGAACAACAATGCTTAGGCCTCTACTTCCAGCTGATACCTACTATATACATATTATGGACACAGTATGCCTACATTATTAGTTATCTTGTTATTAGTTGTTGTTATTAGTCCCATCCTTCAGCTCCATTCAACACCTCCCATCTACCTCTTAACACCATCCATATTGGATTTCTATTTGCCATATATATATTTCAACCGTACTGTGATGTTTTACAAAAGTTCTGAACCTTTCTATTCTCAGTGTTTCTACAGATTGTGAATTGAAAATAAACATTTTTTGCTAAAAGTATTATTATATTATTGATCGATTGACTATGACTTTTCAGATCACCCAGTAGTGCTATCTGCAGGGTTAGCTCCAGGTAAATATTGCAATCCTTCAGCCATTCCTGGACCTGTGTCCAAAAACAAGCTACAGATGGACAGTACCAAAACAAATGATCTAATGATTCTGTCTCTTCGCAGCAAAATCTGCAGAGCTGGGAAGATTGTATCCCCCATATAAATAACATTCTATTGGTAGCAAGAATTTTGTATAATAATTTAAATTTAAAGATTCTAAGTTTTGAATCCGGTGTCGTTTTGCGTATCAGTTCATAAACACTATGCCATGGGATCGGTACGTCAAAAATCTCTTCCCAACTATTTTGCAATCTATATGGGACGGCTGTCAATCCTTTGGTCCTTAAATGAAACTGGTATACTTTTTTATTTATCACAGTTTCCCTTAACCAATTATGTTCTTTAATGCAAGGCCGACAGACAAGTTCCTTACTTTCTCCCCCTTCCACTTTCCTCTTCCATTTTTGCGGTAAGGCTGCATTTATTTGGTTGTAATTTTGGGTAGAGCAGACATTTCCATATGTTTTTGTTAGCTGCATGTGCGACATAACTCCACCAGTCCTACCTATGATATCATTTACAAAGATTATACCTTTTTTAAACATTTTGTCAAAAAAAAAAGTTTTTTTGTCAATTAGTATTTTTGAGTTTAACCACAATATTTGTTGCATTATTTGTTCTGTCGTTTCTGGAGGATTAAATTGAAATTGAAACCAACTTTCTATGGCTTGTTTTAGAAATAGTGATATTTGGGAAATGATTTCCTTTTCAAATAATTGAAAGTGAGAGGTTGTAATCTGAATAAAGGGAAACAATCTTACTAATTTGCTAGAGAACCAGTTTGGATTTAAGTATAACTTTTGTATGACTGAAGCTTTTAGTGATGGGTCTTTAATATTTAATCATTTCTGTCCTTCGAATTCATATTTATTATATAAATAGGCCAGTTTAATTTTGTCTGGCTTGACGTTCCAAATAAAATTGAATATTTTTTTCTCATATAATTTTAAAAACTGTTCGCTAGGCGTAGGCAAGACCATAAGCAAATAGGTAAACTGGGATAATACTAAAGAGTTAAATCAGAGTGATTTTTCCACAAATTGACAGGTATTTACCTTTCCATGGTAGCAAGATCTTTTCTATTTTTGCTAACTTTCTATTAAAATGTATTGAAGTGAGATCATTTATTTCATTTGGGATATGTATTCCAAGTATATCACCATCAGACCATTTTATTGGTTAACTACATGGTAATGTAAAAATTGTATTTTTTTGTGATCCAATACGTAATATACACTGCTCAAAAAAATAAAGGGAACACTTAAACAACACAATGTAACTCCAAGTCAATCACACTTCTGTGAAATCAAACTGTCCACTTAGGAAGCAACACTGATTGACAATAAATTTCACATGCTGTTGTGCAAATGGAATAGACAACAGGTGGAAATTATAGGCAATTAGCAAGACACCCCCAATAAAGAAGTGGTTCTGCAGGTGGTGACCACAGACCACTTCTCAGTTCCTATGCTTCCTGGCTGATGTTTTGGTCACTTTTGAATGCTGACGGTGCTTTCACTCTAGTGGTAGCATGAGACGGAGTCTACAACCCACACAAATGGCTCAGGTAGTGCAGCTCATCCAGGATGGCACATCAATGCGAGCTGTGGCAAGAAGGTTTGCTGTGTCGGTCAGCGTAGTGTCCAGAGCATGGAGGCGCTACCAGGAGACAGGCCAGTACATCAGGAGACGTGGAGGAGGCCGTAGGAGGGCAACAACCCAGCAGCAGGACCGCTACTTCCGCCTTTGTGCAAGGAGGAGCAGGAGGAGCACTGCCAGAGCCCTGCAAAATGACCTCCAGCAGGCCACAAATGTGCATGTGTCTGCTCAAACGGTCAGAAACAGACTCCATGAGGGTGGTATGAGGGCCCGACATCCACAGGTGGGGGTTGTGCTTACAGCCCAACACCGTGCAGGACGTTTGGCATTTGCCAGAGAACACCAAGATTGGCAAATTCGCCACTGGCGCCCTGTGCTCTTCACAGATGAAAGCAGGTTCACACTGAGCACATGTGACAGACGTGACAGAGTCTGGAGATGCAGTGGAGAACGTTCTGCTGCCTGCAACATCCTCCAGCATGACCGGTTTGGCGGTGGGTCAGTCATGGTGTGGGGTGGCATTTCTTTGGGGGGTCGCACAGCCCTCCATGTGCTCGCCAGAGGTAGCCTGACTGCCATTAGGTATCCTCAGACCCCTTGTGAGACCATATGCTGGTGCGGTTGGCCCTGGGTTCCTCCTAATGCAAGACAATGCTAGAGCTCATGTGGCTGGAGTGTGTCAGCAGTTCCTGCAAGAGGAAGGCATTGATGCTATGGACTGGTCCGCCTGTTCCCCAGACCTGAATCCAATTGAGCACATCTGGGACATCATGTCTCGCTCCATCCACCAACGCTACGTTGCACCACAGACTGTCCAGGAGTTGGCAGATGCTTTAGTCCAGGTCTGGGAGGAGATCCCTCAGGAGACCATCCGCCACCTCATCAGGAGCATGCCCAGGCGTTGTAGGGAGGTCATACAGGCACGTGGAGGCCACACACACTACTGAGCCTCATTTTGACTTGTTTTAAGGACATTACATCAAAGTTGGATCAGCCTGTAGTGTGGTTTTCCACTTTAATTTTGAGGGTGACTCCAAATCCAGACATTTGATTTCCATTGATAATTTTTGTGTGATTTTGTTGTCAGCACATTCAACTATGTAAAGAAAAAAGTATTTAATAAGATTATTTCATTCATTCCGATCTTGGATGTATTATTTTAGTGTTCCCTTAATTTTTTTGAGCAGTGTATATCTCACTAGATCAGGATA